TCTATGATTAGTAGTTCAATATTTAAACCACTCATTTTTGTTTGTTTGTTTGTTTGATATCATCTGATTTGACTCTTACGGTGGTTTCATGCTCAGATCCCATTTTACTTTATGCCCTTTGTTCTAGGTGTAACCTATAACGCCGTGGTTTATATCAAAGCCTTGTGGGGTCTTTTGAATTCTTTGTGTCTTAGTTTGTCACGTTTTTTATATTGTCTGATTATCATCACAGAGCCTACTCAATATACTCTAAGGTCTGCTTTGCATTAAACTTATATGATAATCACTAGTAAACAAAGACACTAGTTGCATAGCATGTTTTAATAACCTGAGAATTTCTTAAAGCTGGGAATTCTCTTAGTTGACCAAGTTGGTTGGTTTTGAGTGTCCAAGTTGGTTGGTTTTGAGTGTTTTGCCTTCTCAGCTTCCTTATCTTTGTATTTTGAGTTGTTTATCATTTCATTCACTGACGTGAGTCTAAGATCTTCTATTGGAATGTCATTTACTTTATGGCATTAAAGAGTGAAGTGAAAAAAACAACATGTCTTAATGTTTAAAACTTTACAGTGGAAACGATTACGTTGTTTTGAATATTGAACTGCAGATACTTTGGGATCACGACTAATTCTAATGGTGTGGCAGTACATATATATCGGCTTTTCAAAACATAACTGCACCTAACCCTAGTTGACTGTGTTCAGCTAAAACCGCGTATCAATGATTCCGGTCCTAGCGGTGCTATATGCACGTTTTCTTGTGGTTGATTAGGTGATGAGACAGTCTCACTGCAGCCAGCTATCTTTTTGCAAGTCTGAATGAGACAGTGCCTGCACGTGGGACACGATGAGTGTGAACTGAGCCATTTGTCTATACACCGGACATGGAATCCATGGTGGCACTTTGGCAGAAGCTTGACTCGCTCTCCGGACACAAACTCCGAGAGACATATGGCACACTCTGTATCTAGGCCAGGCAGCTTCAGTTCTGCAGTGTAGCTTACTGTCTGGAAACTCTTCAAGGCTTTTTGTTTGACCCCTGTGTTGGCCAAGCGGACTGAGAGCTCGTCACTAGCTTCAGATGATAATAAATTGGAGTACCTCAGTGCACATCTTATGATAGAATGCAGTCCAAGTGAGCAAACTAGTGCACATAAGAGGACTGATAGAACCATGACAACATTTGCATCAAAGCTCATATGACTTGCGTAGGTGTGTGATGTTTCATGAGCGTCTGCAAACGGGGATGATGCCGTGGTAGGTGGTTGATAAGCTGTATGAAGTAGTAGTCTTCTTGAGTAAAAATCTCCACGAATATCTTGGAAGAGCTCAGTTGGTTTGGTAATGGGAGCAGAAGTTGCGGGCGACATGATAACCTAGTTTGAAGAGTTTGATAGATAGATCTTCTAGGTTTTTGTTGCAGGTTCTATATATAGAGGAAAGGTAAAGGTTTGCATATACTTTCTTACATTTAATGGGAAATTGGTTTAATTGAATTTTCTGAATTATGGTTGGTGGAATATGCTAACAAAATTAGCAAGGTCCTTTAGTGTTTTGTTTTATTTAATTGTCTGCATCTTATATGGATTCTCCACTGAATTTGTATAATCTTTGTGTGCTTTCACATGGAAAATGGGCCCATCATACCATTTGCTGCAATGGTAGTGCCATGTGGCAGTGGCTTTTGCAAATCAAATCATCTAGAATTGCTCACAGGGACCCATGAGCTTTAGCTAGAGCCGCCATGAACTTTCCATCTTTGGGATAGCATTCAGATAATACATCTCTTGAGTCTTGGTTCATGTCACTGGCTCTCTCTGTTCATTCCTACTCATCAAGGCTTCTAATATAAGTTATGTCATAAATGTTTTATGCAAAATAAGTTATGCAGTGACATGTATCTATGCTGATTATGTTTGATTTAGATCTAGAAATTTGCCCATATAAGTTATATTCATCGAAATGGTTTTCTTGGTTTGGTTGGTACAAAATCTATAACATATTCATATGTTAAAGAAAGTTGAGGTTAGTTGCTTCAGTTCTTGTTAACTTATGAATTGAGTTCTTGTTACATCTCAATATCGGTATCTTTTATATTGTAAGCAGGCCCGGCCCACCACACATTTCTAAGAAACATGTGTATTGGGCCTCCTGATTTTTTAAGCTTTTTAGTATAAAATTAGGCCTCAAAAATACTTTTTATTGCAAATAAGAGGCCCCATTTTTTTGAAATATTCAGATTTAGTCTCAAATTTTTAAATTTGATCTATTTGTTATTGCAAAATTAGGCCTCATTTTCCTAAAATTTTAAAATTTGGTCTCAAGTTTTAATTTCTTCTATAAAATCCATCCAAAATTTTTTTTTTTGTATTGGGCCCCATATTATACAGGGCCGGCACTGATTGTAAGGTATTTCGTTGTTTGTGCATCACTTAGATCTAGTGTCTTACAAGAAAAGATAACTTGATAAGTTTTGATTTACATTGGATCACATGTATCCAATTCCTTGGTCACCTCAAACTTCAACTTTTTTGTTTGTTTGTTTCTGTGGTGAATAGTGAAAGATTCATAACTTTTGTGTGGAAAACAGGAATCAAGTCTCGTCCGTAGTAAACCAAAGTATGTTAGCAACCAGAAGGCAAAAAGCCCCTTCCATGAATCCTGTTAAAGGCTACTTTTATCGATAAAGATCACTCTAAATTAGTGTCCAGCTCTGCTCCTTTATCTAAGCCAGTCTCGTACGTATGATTAAAATCATAGCTAAAGCAAATGGTTTATATAATTTCCTTTTGCTTACTTTATAATATATTGTCTTCTACTGCAAATTGCCAGCGCAAACTACATGAATCTAGAATCAAACGTTCTTACTGTGGCACGTATCTAAAGCAAGATTTTTGGATGAAGATGTAATGTTACTTTTAGTCTTATGACTTGGTAATAGTGTAGGTAAGCATTTGTTTGGCGTAGATTTTTATAATTTGGGCAAAGAGTTGATGTTGCAAAGCAGGGGAGATCTATCCTTTCTCACCAGTCTCTCTCTGAAAATTACAGAAAAGCTTTAAGCCTATCTGAAAATGATTCGTCTTTTCTTTTCTTTGTGCCACTAGGTTCCATATAGCTGGTAAGAACATATAGTGGTCTGTTTTTTTATCTCTTCCTGAAAGTGATAAACTTTGCGTTTAGTGCTTTATGTTGCTTGGAATACCATGTGATACTCGTGCATTCTTTGGTTGACATTCTTGCTTTGGTGGTCTTCCTACCTTGTGATTATTAAAGCAAAGGAATATAATAAGCAATAATTAAGTCGTATCAATACTGAATGAGTCGAGATAAGTTGTATTTGGAACACTTTTTCTGGATGCATTTGATTTCGAATGGTTTGGCCGCATTCAATGTGTTTGAAGAGCCATGACAGTAATTTCAGGAGCACACTAATTAAATCTTTTTCTTGTGCTAGAATTTGCAATTCTCTAATATAGAGCTTTTGTCTTTTTTTTTTTTAAATTCTTTGTATGCCGACAGAATTTTTTCCATTTTCTAGTTGCATGGTACTGAATTATCTGAACCTCTAATATCCATTATACTCCAAAAGGTTGAGACATGTATCTTCTTATTGATTTAAGTTTTTAGTCCAGCAAAAGGAAAATTGCACCTACCAATATGTTGAAATTATCTCAGACTATGGTCTATTACAACAGTAAGATTCGATACCATCTCATATCACTCAGATGCATAGTGGACCTATGTTACCTGTAAAACACATTCTTATGTTGTTAACCAATGACACTTTTTTTCTATGCAAAGCCTCATGTGCTATCAAGCTCCCACTTCCTACTCAGGCACTGTAAAATATATATATTTCCGTGCTCTTTATCTATTTCACTCCAATCATAGGTGACTAGGATCTTTAAGATCTATCTGGAGCTCTTTTTGTATATGAAATCTTGTTCCCTTTGAAACTGCAGGATTTCCAAAATCTCACAGTGATATAGAAAAATATTCTCAGCATGCTGGTCATAATTAAATAGTTATTAGTAGCTTACTGAGGATTGTGGATTCAAACTTTATTTAGTATGACTCGGATTTCCTTCAGTTTCAAGATGGAATAAATATCAAGCTGTGTATCTAGTTGATATAGTTATTATTTTCCGCGATTGTTTAGGAGTGACTTAAAGTAAGAGAACACTATGTTGATTTAAATCGTTAGGCTTCAAATTCTCAAGATTTCATTGAATCATATAGATGCTTGGAAATCTAGCCATGTTCGTTTGATTGGATATGGATATGTTTTGTCTCTTATCTTGGTTTTAAAAATTACTACTATATGGATTTTGAGTATGGTAATTGCAGATCACTGCCAATAGAGATGTGGTAGCATAGGTACATATGCCAAAAGACATGTGTTATCACTTTAGCAGCTCCTTGTTATAGAAAAATGATTGATTGTTAAAGTGGAGCTTTCCATTATGATCTTATACCATGTTGGTGTTGCCTGATATCTTAAAATACTATAAGCATTCCTCAAAGTAGCTTTTAGGTTTGACTTCTTCCCACATACTTAGGTGGATTAGTTTGACCTTGTTATGTGTTGGGTCCATTACCCTTTGCAAACACACTGAGTTCATTTCTTTATCATTGCGACGAAGAATCCCTTGTTTATTCTTACCCAGATTACTTACTGTGGGTCGAATGGGGATATAGACGGTGTTAGTCTACCAAGTTGGTGAGTGAGTGAATAGATATGTAACCGATTAGGCCAGACCGAGATCACATTCTGTGGTCTTAGTACTGCTTCTTCATGTACCTTGGTCTTGGTGTCCAGAGCTTCATCAAAACCATTTCTTTTCAGACCTTCAAAAGTAGTTGTTACTAGTTCTACTCTGTGATTGTGATTTGAATATGCAGAGGAATTTTCTGAAAAGCATTTATCAAACTTTTCTTGGCAGATGACGATTTCGATTGTTAGCCTTGGCTGTGAGTATTGCAAAGAAGTAGAGATTCAGATACTGACCAAAACGCAAAGAAAAGTTTGATGAACTTATGATGCCACAGAAAGCTTAAGGTATATTCTCTGTACACTTTGGGCTTTAGGCACAACAAAAGGCAAAAAAAAAAAAAAAATTCTGTTGTGTTTGATTTTGAAATCCTATGGCTAGGGACATAAATTGTGTTTTAAGTCTAAGAAAAGCTATAATCTTGCTGGAGAGCCAAATTTTGCAATTATGATCTCTAGCTGCTTTATCTAAAAGTGGCTACTCTTGCTTCAGGTTCTAGAGGAGCAATTCTGATATCTATGCTCTCCGTTGATGTTGCTGCCACTTGATCAGCTGCATCGCAATCACTTGAGACTTTTTGGCATGTATCAACCAGACAGTGTCTGCATTTCGGACAAGTCATATGTTGCGTAAGCCATTTGTCGATGCAGCGAACGTGGAACCCGTGGTTACACTTGGGAAGCAGACGTAGCTGTTCTCCAGCAACAAAATCAGACAAGCAGATGACACACTCTTCACCAAGCCCTGGCTGGTTAATCTCAGGTGAGTAATTCACAACTGGGAACATCTTGAGAGCTTTCTTCTGGATCCCTTTGTTTACTGATGAATCTCTTGGTGTGGATGGGATAGAGATGGGATCAGAGATCATGAAACTCCGAGAACGTCTGAATGCGCAACGTATTATGTAATGCAACCCGAGGGAGCAGATGATACCGCACAAAAGGATAGAGAGCAGCATGAGAACATTGCCGCTCAAGTTGTTCTTATCAGGTACATGAGCTTGTTGAGCGTTGTGAGCAAATGGGATCTGCTGAAGCAATTTTCTGGAGACGAAACTGTCGATGAAGTGGTCCTGGAAGACTTGAGATGAAGAAGAAGGTAACTGATCTGAAATCATCTTTTACTCTATAAAAAGCTTTAAGGTCAAAAATCTCTCTGTTTTTTTTTTCTTGTGATGTTTTGGTTTGGTTTATTGCCTTGGGTGATTCAAAGTGGTGATTATATATAGCTTGATGATACTTAGTGGGGAATAGGAATATTATATGTAGAGATCACTAAATGTTGGTTTTGGAAACTTCTTTCTCTGAAAATGAAATGAGGAATTAGGGACCCAGAAAGAGCTTATCCAATTCCATGAATCCTTCCTTTGTGTAGAGAGATTGTGCCTCTGACCATATCTTTTCCAATTGCTTTGTAGGGACAATCATTTCGTCCTAGAAATAACTTTCTTACAACAAAAATAAAACTTGAAATGTATTATTATTACTATATAATTCTGATTATAATCAAGAGGACATTTGTTGAGTTGTATCTCTATTATGATGGATTGGCCACACTAGTTATTTGATAGTTGTAAAGCAGTGTGTTGTGTTTTGTTGCTCTCTATAATTCTCTCTGTATTATTGAGCTTTTTTCCCATGTGTCGTGTCGCTTCATTCATAATTCTCTATGTTTTTTAAAACAAGAAACAAAATATATTTGAAAAAGTTTATTTATTTTCCTTTCAGTAAATTACATAATTTTTGGAAATGATTGCAACCAAAGTCACAGAATTTACTACTATATAATATTAATATACACTGTACTTTAGAATAACGGTTACTAATGGTGACAGTAAAAGGATAGATAGGTCTGTGTTGATCTGATAATTGTATTTTTTTTTTTTTTCATTTCTTGGGCTCTTTATTCTTTACCAATGTTCAAGAAAGTGCTAGGCGCTAAGCGGGCGGTGACCCAGTGCCTAGCGCCTAGAACGCTTAATCGGGGCTTAGGCGATTTTTAGGCGGTTTAGACGTTTATAACATAAAATATTATAAATATAATATTATATATAAAATATCTATATAAAACTCAAAATTATGAAATTATAAACAAAAACTAGATAAAACATTTATTTATATTTATATTAAACAATATATGAATATTTTAACTATATATATAAATAAAACTCTTATTAAAATTAAAAAAATATATTAAACAAGAACTATGTGATTTTAGGCGGTCAAAGCGGTTATCTAGGCGTTGCATGATAGTCTAGCGCCTAGTCGGGGCCTAGGCGACCGCCTAGACCACTTTTTAGAACACTGCTCTTTACTGGTAATATACGCAAAATCTTCTTTTGATATTGGAATGATATCTCAAGATCTAAACCAGAAACTTGTCTGCTGCATATATGTGAGCCTTCCTTTGTGGAGTATTATTTAGTTATTTATTCATTTTTTTTTGCTAAAAAAGCAACAATATAAAAGGAGGAAATTAAAAAGAAAAAGAAAAAAATAAAAGGAGAAAACGAAACAGATGTAACCAGCTTAATATCGTCTACTCCACAAACGTTATTGTCTAAATTTTAAGTTTTGTCTTTTTGGTCGACATAATCTTCCCTAACCTTAATCTCTCTGGTCCCGTACGTGTTTACTAGCTTTTAATCATCAATTGTTTTCGTTTCATGATTTTTTTTCTTTTATGTAATTATAAAAGCTCAAACACAATTCTCCAACCTAAGGCCGGGGTCGTCGTCGGCCCATTAATTTTACAATATTTGTTACAAATTTTATCAACATTGATTATTAAGCATATACCATTATATATTCCTCTTAGTTAACAGCAACACATCAAACTTTGAGTTAGTATACATATTTTTTCAAATTAGAAAGGGGCTTTAGTGTGTAAATAACTTTATCATTTGTATATTTTTATGTTGATTTAATTCTAGAGATAAAGACTTGTAGAGATATGGTTGAATTTGTGGTTGTGGACATGGATTAGAGCACCGCCAAAAATCACAAGTGGGATATTTTGCTTTTTAACCCTACTTTTCTATCATTTTTTTTTTTAATAATGCCTCTTTAATTAATTTAATGAGCTATTCATGAGAAACTTATGAGATATAGGTAGGATTCATCATTTATCTCTTTAGTACTTGGTGCATCATGGGAAATATTTTGCATGTCACGTAGTCTAGTGATAAGTTAGTGATTACCCATTAGTCCATTATTAAGATGAATACTAGTTTCCACATCGAAATCAATAATCATAGACTCATAGTAAATACATGCAGCATAAAATATGTTCAGAAGGATTTGTCTTGCTTCATAAAATCGATAATAGAGATATATATTTTTTCAATAGATAGAACGAGAAACATGTTTAAAACATCTATTATTTGGATCCTTAGAGTTGATGTTTGAAACATCACTTTGGCTCAATGGAGGATTATTCTTCAAAGTGATGTTTCTATTACGAATAATCATCCAACTCTAACATCTATTGTGTTCTGGTTTCGAAGAAGTGCGTAACAGAGCCAAAAACTAGCAATTAGCAAACATACAAAATAATTTACAAGGTTACGCGTTGTCAATCAGAGGATTGGAGGCGAATGTGGCTTGTAAGCGCTGTGGAGAAACTGAAGACTCTCTGCACCTTTTCTTTAGGTGTCCTTTTGCAAGGAAAGTCTGGGAATTGGCACCGGTGAACAGGTTACCTCTGGACTCTTGCCTTATCTCTTTTAAAGATCTGCTGGTGGAGTCTAGAAAAAGGCTCACCCTCCCTCCTGTGGGAGTTGGCTTGTCTCCTTTGTACCCTTGGATCCTATGGTTCTTGTGGAAGGCGCGCAATCTTCTTATCTTCGAGGATAGGTTATGTACAGAGGAAGATACAATCCATAAAGCTATTAAGGAAGCTGGGAGTTGGCAGGAGGCAAAGCTGCACGCTCCACCAAAAAAGAAAATCCAGAAGTTGGTGGATAGCGCAGCTGTGCATCAGGATGCCTTGCTTTGCTTCTCAGATGCGGCTTGGAAGTCGGATACTAACATGTGTGGTTTGGGGTGGATTATTGAGAATCCACTTAAGGTTTCTCTGTTTCAGGGATCATCATCACGACCCTATGTGTCCTCTGTTCTAGTAGCGGAGACACTAGCTTTGAAGGCGGCGATCAACGTGGCTTTAGCGCAGGGTGTTTCAAGGCTGGCTTGTTTCTCGGACTGTCAAGAGCTTATGCTTCTTCTCAACGCCGACGGCCATGCAAATGAACTTGACGGCTTATTGGAGGACATCAAGCTCCTTAAGACCAAGTTTACTTCTATTTCTTTTCACTTTGTTCCTCGTATTGAGAATGTTATGGCAGATTCTCTAGCAAAATCTGCCCTGTTATCTTGTAATGTCTCCTCCTTTACTGGAGTTTGAGTTCTGGTTATTTAAGTAAAGTTTTACAAAAAAAAAAAAAAAAAAAAAGCAAACATACAAAATAATTTCGTTTGAAATGGTGGATCGAATAATCCTCCAATTTTAATTTGGAATCTGAAATCGTATATGGGCTTAAATTCAAATTCATATTTAGCTCTCAATCCAATTGGGCTTAAATGTGGTCCAATGAAAATATTTATATATGTTTTAAGTGTGATTTTGACGCATTAGAAATTCTATTCACATATGATGATTTCTACTTACTCTTATCACCAAGAAATACGAACACAGGACGATTAGTCTTACCTGCCGCGTTATTGTGTTAATGTAAATGAGACATATGGGAGACCAAAGCAGTAAATGAAAAAAGAATGGATTTGTTGTGGAACCTTCCGTGATTCCAATTAGGCTCTCACATTGTTGGTCTCTCTTATCTATTCATGTTGTTGTGATTTGGACCATTCAAGAGAACATTTGCGATGTTAAACTGGAGCACACACAAAGAAAACTACTAAAGATTTTGGGATAACTTAGTTTACAATTTACAAAGTTTGACACTTTCTTCTATACGTAATTAATTATCTATTTATATGTAAGAAACTTGTCATTTAAATATAAAATTTTTAACAACTGAAAAATTTTACTCCATCCGTTTCGTTTTAGTTGTCGTTTAAGGTTTTCTCACACAAATTAAGAAAAACATTAAATTTTCTGTTTTACCCTTCATTAATATATATTATAAATTTTTTTATTGGCCAAAACATCAAAATAATAGGGATAATACTAGAATTTTTACCAAACATTTGCATTAAAAACCTAAAACGACAACTATTGCGAAACAAAATTTAAGTCCTAAAACGACAACTAAAACGAAACGGAGGGAGTAACTTTTAACCAAATCTTAAACAGTTTTTCCTTTACAATTCATCTTTTCATGATTTGCTGTTATTTGAAAATCTTATTTTAATTATTTTCTTCTTATTAATTTCTCTATTTTCATTGCATATCTAAATTTCTTTTTTACCAAAAAAAAGAGAGTTGCATATATAAAAAATCAACATATATTATATGTTCACATCTTATGATGCATGTCCAATAACAAAAGAAATAATTTGCACCAATTTCTTTTGTTCAGTTCATCAGTTGCAACAAATCTTCCCCAAAAATATTTAGCTAATTTTAATTAGATTAGCTAACGAGTAATTGTTTTTTTTTTAACATTCGATTTCGATCACATAAATAAACTGGTATATTCCTAACTTCCCTTACCTACGAACTCAAAACGAAGGACCTAGTTCTGGGACCCACTAACAAAGTAAAAATATATATATAATAAATTTGGGAAAAAAAAAAGAAATTGAAAGTATTGAGTGTGTATCGAACGAGTCACGAAGAAGATATCAAATCGTCTCTGGAAAATAAACAAAACTAAGAATTCGAATGAACTAGTATTACTAATCTGATAATGACGAAATAAACTTGCTTGATTTCCTGAAATTTCCCATGGGTTTGATTCAGTTTCGTCTTCCATGGTTTTGAATTCGGAACACTAATTTTTTGTAATCGAAAGTTTTGTCCTTTTTTTTCTTTCTTAAATCTTCGTTAGGGTTCTTTCAATTTTGCCAATAAAATCGAAAAAAAAAAAACAAAAAACAAGAGTGCAGAATAAGTTCGAAGAAGAAGAAGACGAAGTTAAAAGCAGCGACACAAGTCGGTGGTTACTCGATAAGGTAATGATGTTAACTTTTCATGAGTTCGTGAGTTATGTACTGTACTTGCTCTGTTCTGGGTTTTAGGTTTTTAGTTTTTACTCTCTGATTTTTGTTTATTAGATGGATTTGATCATCGACAACTATATTTATGATTCTGGGTTTTTAGTGGAGGTTATGATCGATTTGATCAAATGTGGAATTAATAGGGTTACTGATTTTGAATATGTGGTTTTGAATTTTGATCCCCAGGAACAGTTTTTGATAGAAAGATGTCATCTTCACACAACAGGAGTAACAAAAATTCAGAAGGTGCTAAAGCTGAACAAATCATATTTGAGTTCTTTGCTAAAAGCCTTCACATCATTCTCGAGTCAAGGACTCCTTTTATGTCTTCAAGGAATTTTAGTGGTGACCAGATGATTTGTTCTCCTTCCTCATCTTCTTCCTCTTCCTCCAGTGTCAGGCCTCGCGACAAATGGTTCAATCTAGCTCTTAGGGAATGCCCTGCAGCGTTAGAGAGTTTTGATATCGGGAGGAGAAGCAGTCTTGAGCCTTTGGTTGTTGATGTGGTTCTTGTGGTGAGGCCACTTGTTGGTGATCAGATGAACTTGTCTGGTAAAAGGGAGCTTATCAGGAATTTTTCCGGGAAAGATTATCAGTCGGGTTGGAATTCTGATCAAGATGAATTGGGATGTGAAGCTAAGAACGAGCAGATTATTGAGAGATGGGTGGTGCAGTATGATAATAGGAAGATCAGGGAATCTGTTACTACCAGTAGCAGGAGGTCAAGCAGTAATAAGTTGCAAGTCATGTATAAGAAAGCTACTCTGCTGCTAAGATCATTGTTTGTGATGGTTAGGCTTTTACCTGCTTATAAGATTTTCCGGGAACTTAATTCCTCGGGGCAGATCTTCAAGTTCAAGCTTGTTCCCAGGGTTCCCTCTATTGTTGAGCCATTCACTCGTAGAGAAGAGGCAGAAATGCAGAAGTTTTCTTTCACACCGGTTGAAACTATCTGTGGTAGACTTTGCTTATCGGTTTTATATCGTTCTCTTTCCGATGTCAGTTGCGAACACTCAACTCCTATGTCTCCAACATTTATAACCGATTATGTTGGAAGTCCCTTGGCTGATCCTTTAAAGAGGTTCCCTTCCCTTCCTCTTTCATATGGTTCTCCTCCATTGCTGCCATTTCAAAGGCGGCATAGCTGGAGTTTCGATCGTTACAAAGCATCTCCACCTTCTGTTTCTTGCTCACCATCGCCTACACGCTCGGATTCACATGCATTGGTTTCACATCCTTGCTCCCGTCACCTTCCTCCTCACCCTTCTGATATACCCACTGGTCGTAGGAAGGAATGCTATGCTGAAGGATATCCTCCTTCTCAAGATTTCTCCCCTCCTCCTTCTCCTTCAGCCCCAAAACACGCCGTCCCAAGAGGCATCACGCGTACTGAAAGTGCTCCAGTCAGAATCCCAGCTCCAACTTTCCAGTCCAAAGAAAACGTTGTGGCACCTTCTGGTCATCTGAAATTGTCGAGACACCCTTCGTTGAAGCCTGTGAGAAACTTGGGTCCTGGTGAATCTGGAGGAGCAATAGATAAGGTAAACGTACTCCACATGTCTTATCTTTTATCTGTTTTCTGGATCATGGGACTGAACGAGTTAAACTGTTATTCATTATCCTTCTAGCTGTTTCTTTATGGGAGAGATGACTTTAGAAGAAATTCTGGGGTGAGGCCGTCTTCCAACAGCTCACCGCGGATATCATTTTCCCGGAGTTCCAGTAGATCTTTCCAAGACGATTTTGATGATCCTGATTTCCCTTGCCCATTTGATGTTGAGTATGATGATATCGCAGATCGTAATAGCAGGTATGGTCTTAAAAAACGTACATATCTCATGGTGTCTTTTCCACTTTATCTGCAGCCCAAGCATACAATCTTTTGATTGCTTTCGGTTGTCGTTCTAAGTGGATCTCTGTTATATTTCAAAACCAATTGAGTTTCTAAATAAGTGATTTACTAATCCTGGCCTCTTAAGCTAATCAATTCATTTAAGAAGCTTGTTCATGTTCTTTCTTACTTTGAGCTTTTACAGCCATAAGACCCAAATGGTTACTGTAATGCTTCTGTATCCGTGTAGCTTGGATTAATTTTGGCGTATTCTTGTACTGATCTTATAAAAAGAAGAAAGAGAACTTTGTTTGAATGGTTTGTCTCAGGGCTGACCCAGTTCTTGAGACTTTGTTTTGTAACTGTTTGCAGTAGAAGCTGATTTTGGTTTACTGCCTTATTTCAGACCAGGGTCGTTCGACCACAGAGGAGACATACATGAACCACTCGATTCAAGTGGGTCATACCCGAAGAAGTCCCAAGATGCTGAAGTTGGTGCCCTTGTGAGAATGCTGAAGAAAGCTCCTCCTCTCAGACAAGATGTCTCTGAATCTTCGATACCTGAAATTTGCTGGAACAACAACAACAGCAACAAACCCGCAGGGGCTCACGAGATAGCAGTAGCGTCTATCACAGCCTCGGGGATTACTCTGGCCTCAAAGACAACAGCTGATGCATTGGAAGAGTTGAGGTCTTACAAAGAAATGAAGAATCATTTGTTGCTTAGTCAATCCACATCAAACCCTTCCTCGGTTACTACTTCACCTTTTGAAGTTTGATATTTGATGGTTTCAGAATCTTGACCCATTTTGGGTTTTGGTTTGGTTTTGTGTTTTTTGCAGAATGTGCCTATGTATATAATAATATAAAGCTCTCTCGACTCTTTGGATGATGATGACATTGGTCCATGTAAATAAACATATACCCAAAAAAGAAAAAAATTCTATGTAAATAAATGGTAAACAATGTACAATATATATCAAAAATAAATTCTATAGTATGTAAATAAATGGTAAGCATATGTATATAAAAGAAAAAAATTCTATGTATATAAATGGTAAGCATATGTATAAAAATCATCTTTTGTTGTCAACGATTTATGAAAGCTTTCTACAATTTCATCTTTGGGTTTATAAGTATTTATTTAAACCATTTTTTTTTTTTTTTTCGACAGCAAGTATTTAAACCATTTTCCATATCTAATTTAAGAAATATCTCAGACGAAAATAACAAAATATTAGCAAAGCGATTCGAGAAATTTTTTTTTGAACAACACGGTGTCGTATTTGAGGAAAAAGAAGTTGGTCACCCGTCGGCGAATCTGTGAAGAGTAAAACCCTAATGTAAAGCAGAGAGAACAAACAGTCCAAATCTAATCTCTTTGTCGTCGGAAGGAAGAAGAAGATCAAAATGCCGCTCTACGACTGTATGCTTTTGTTCAAGCCAATAATCAGGAAGGAAGGCCTCATCGATCTCGTTGCGCGCATCGGGAAACACGTTTATAGCAGAAATGGCGTCCTCACCGAGATCAAATCCTTTGGCAAGGTCGAATTGGGTTACGGCATTAGAAAGCTCGACGGAAGACACTACCAGGTATTCAATTTCTTACTGAACCGATGATATGAGTCCGTAGAGTTTGTTTGGATCAGGATTTCTCCAGGCCGATTCAATGCTATTAGAATTAGGGTTTAGGCTGGCCTTTTGTGACCATATCGAAATAGCTTCGTGTTTTGAATATTGCTGATCGATTCTTATGGTTAAAGACTTGACTTGGGGAAATTTTGCAGTCATTGCATATAAATGCTTGCTACGACTATTGGACTGATACTTATTTCGCCCAGATTACTTACACTTAGTTTAACTTTCAGTTGGATTCTTGAAGCAAACTCATCATATTGTTACTAGTCACAAAAGGTTGCTTCTGAGTGATTTTGTCTACCCGATTTTATAAACTCCTGATGAGGATAACAGAACAGCTAGGATTCTAGAATAGTTCCTATCTAAGTCAATTGTTCAAAGAGCTTGATTGTGCTTTGGATCAGTGTGGAGTTTTATTATTAGTTGATGCTTTAACTGTAGAGAGATAAGCAATCGTAGCTTTCGCTTATATATACTCGCACAGATTTCTTCAAACTGTATTTGTTCTTTGAAATTTTGGCTATTGTAGGAATAGAATTTGGGCTACGAAGAAGTAAAACCAGAGACATTTTGTTTCGATCTGCAATAGATGTAGGATTGAGGGTATCAATCAATACAAGCTTTAAACATCAATCTCCTATGTCTCTTTGGTAGAATTTGCAGACAATGAAAATTGAACATGCACCTTTATTAGCTTCTCGCTCACTAATCTGTAGAATCACGGGTTTGCTTAGTAGTTAGTATCATTTTCTGCCTTGGAGCTTTGACATAATCATATCGGGCGAATACTGCAGGGGCAATTGATGCAGATAACAATGATGACAACTCCAAACATGAACAAGGAGCTTCACTACCTCAACAAGGAAGACAAACTGCTGCGCTGGCTCCTAGTTAAACACCGCGACATCAAGATTGGACAATTGGAAAAGGAAGTTAGTCTGACCGAGCCTAACAGACTTACTACTGAGAGCTTATATGATAATTCCTCCTCGGACGAAGATGACGACAACATTCTAGGGTTATCACGATGAGAAAATCATTTTCTTTGAAATGTTTACTCACTACATGGAAGTCTCCTTCAATGGATATGAGTCTTTTTGGTTGCAAGTTGTGGTATGCGTTTTTGCGTAGACAATTAAATTATGTAATAATAATATTTTAGCCTTTTAGGTAAATTGAACTAAATTTCATGTGTTTTATTTTTGTTGTTTTCGCTATTTTCCCAGTGGATATTTCAACTTCAGCAATTGGGTTAATAATCCCGAATCAAGTGCCACATGTATTATTGACACGTCATGTTTGCATGGACAGAGCGTTTCTCTGTTTTTAGGACTTCAAATTTTTTTCATTCTTTTTTTCTAAAAATTAATTTTGGGAAAAGAATAATGAATTTAAAATAGAGGTGGTGGTTCGTAAATTAGCTAAGAACAAACACTTGTTATAATTTCCCGTGTCGCTGCATCTTCTTCTTCATCCATCGATTTTCTCAATTAGGGTTCTGATTTTTCCTCCCATTGTTGTTCTCCTTCTCCCTTTCGTTTCAATTACAGGACAAAGCTTCGTTTCTCCAGGTAGAATCGAAACGTCAGAATCTTATTGATAAAAATCTACGCGATTCTCTTACCTTTTACCGCTTTTTTTGGGAGAGGAAATCTTTTAATCGTGTGTTTTCTATGTTCATTTGAATGTATGCATTGACGTGAATCGGTTTCTCACTTTATCGATATACTCATACATGTAGGTGTTGTTTGGCATTTTTTGTTTATCCTCTCAAAATTATGAAATAGTTCATGCCAATTGTTTATGCCTGTATCGAATGTGGATTTTGACGGAATTCAATCTGAGAAAAAGAGTATTGGATTGGTTTTATAAAAATTATGTCACGCTCCTAAATTTTGTTTTTTTTTGTTGTTTTGTTTTGTTTTTGATGTTGAGGAGTTTCACAAAACATTCCAGCTAAAATCGGATTTAGGGTTGTATTAGCGTGTGAATATCTTGTTGTCCTTGAAATTCTTTTATTGCAAGGTGTTGCACCCAAAAAGAATCTAAGGGTTTCTATGATCTCATTCTGTGATTTTATGGTTTTGTTTTCTGTTGTATACTTTTCAAGGTTTAAGAAAGAATGGAAGGTACAGACGATGCTTGTGCACTTCAAGAGCCTCCTGACCCCGAAGTGCTCGAAGTTGATCCAACTTTTCGATATATACGGGTATGAGGAGGTTCTTTGGAATGCTATTTTTTTCTATTTGTTGAGTAATTGATTGATACTATAAAACCAAGAAAAGAGGGATCTTGTTTACTTTTCAAATGTTTTGGTTTTGAGTAAATATTGTGTGGTGATTTAGATATCTTATGTTGTTAACCAATTAATTGTGGACCTTTCAGTATAAAGAGGTTATTGGAAAAGGCGCATTCAAGACTGTGTATCCTTTTCGGTTTGTTTTGATATATATATATATATTTCTGAGATTAGAATATTCTTGATATCAGAAGCTTCCTAGGAATGTCCTTATATCATGTATTCATGTCAGTGAAGTTGTTTTAAGAGACTCTTTAAGAGAATGAATATATTATTCTGCATCTTTCTTGGTCTGTACCTTAACTCAAGGAAATCAGTTATAAGGCATTCGATGAAGTAGATGGGATTGAAGTCGCTTGGAACCAAGTACGAATAGATGATGTTTTGCAGTCACCGAATTGCCTTGAGAGGCTGTATTCTGAAGTGCGTCTGTTGAAATCATTGAAGCACAATAATATTATTAGGTTCTATAATTCATGGATCGATGATAAGAACAAGACAGTTAACATAATAACTGAGCTATTCACTTCAGGGAGCCTCCGACAGTATGTATCTCCCTTCCTTTTTTTTCCCTTTCTTCTTATTGAGGAGATCACCATTATGGAGTTTAAGCAATCTTTGGTTTCAGCTACCGCAAGAAACACAGGAAGGTGAACATGAAGGCCGTGAAGAATTGGGCGAGGCAGATTTTAATGGGTTTGAGATATCTTCACGGTCAAGAGCCACCGATTATACATCGGGATCTCAAATGCGATAACATTTTTATCAATGGAAACCATGGAGAAGTGAAAATAGGAGATCTTGGTCTAGCCACTGTCATGGAGCAAGCTAACGCCAAAAGTGTGATTGGTATAGTTTCTATTTCCCGCTTGTTGATGTTGCTAAAATATTCACTTTTCTCTGGTTTAATCCAAGAAGAACGGATACAGTTATAGCCATGCTATATTCTTTGTCTGTCACATTTTAATTTGTCTTCTTTTGGGGTCAAATTGTGTGTTACCAACAGGAACCCCGGAGTTTATGGCACCCGAGCTTTACGATGAGAACTACAACGAATTGGCTGATATTTATTCATTTGGGATGTGTATGTTGGAGATGGTGACATTTGAATATCCCTACTGTGAATGCAAAAACTCTGCTCAGATATACAAGAAGGTTTCATCGGTGAGTTAGCAACAAAGACATATATGCCACATCCATAGTTTATTGACAAGATTTTAACCGATTCTTGTTCTTGGTGATTTCAAGGGAATAAAACCTGCTTCACTCTCCAGGGTTAAAGACCCAGAAGTAAAACAGTTTATTGAGAAATGCTTACTTCCTGCATCCGAGAGGCTGTCAGCAAAAGAGCTTTTACTGGACCCTTTTCTGCAACTAAATGGTTTAACAATGAACAATCCTTTGCCGCTTCCCGACATTGTAATGCCCAAAGAAGGCGCATTTGGAGACCGTTGCCTTATGTCTGAAGGCCCTCCTACAACACGGCCTAGTAAAACCTTGTCTATAGATCTCGATGAAGACAGTAACCTGCCTATTGTTACTTTTAGCGACAATTCAGGATCCAGGTGTATTGAGGTTAGACGCGCAAAGAGAGGAAATTTCTTTGTCCTCAAGGGTGAAGAAAATGATGAGCAGTCTGTGTCCCTAATTCTTCGTATAGTAGATGAGAATGGTCAGTTCTTTTATTCATCTCCAGCTAAGATTCATTACTTCTTCGATATGTTCACATTCTGAAACTGTTTCTTGTTGCAGGGCGTGTAAGGAACATTCATTTTCTGTTCTATCAAGAAGGTGACACTGCTTCTAAGGTGTCGAGTGAGATGGTTGAGCAACTCGAGTTAACTGACCAGAACGTCACGTTTATAGCCGAGCTGATTGATATACTACTCGTCAACATGATACCCACCTGGAAAACTGATGTCACAGTCGATCATCTCATCCATTCGCAACTGAATCAGAACTCAAGAAGTCATCATAACGAAGCAAAGCCACAGAAACAAGAGGAGACTACTTTCCATGATGCTTGTGAGTCGGTTAGTCACTCGTGGAACTCAGATTGCCCACGATCAGAAGAGGAAGATAAGCAATGCGTCGATGCCACCAAAGGAGAAAACGGGAGCTCCAATCAAGAAGCAGAAGAAGCAACCGAACCAGTAAGTTTGGAGGAAGAAGAAAGGTTAAGACAGGAACTGGAGGAGATAGAAGCTAAGTATCAGGAAGAGATGAAAGAGATAGCAACGAAAAGAGAAGAAGCCATTATGGAGACAAAGAAAAAGTTGTCTCTCATGAAGCTGAAGTAAAAGCCAAAAAGCTCAAACAAATCAAAGACGCTCTTCGTTAACTTTTTTTCTTAATCTCTGTGTTTAATTTGTTGGTTGGAGAAGAAGAAGAAGCTCTTCACTCCCTGAAAATGTAGAAAGTTTCCTACAGGTTGAAGGGTTTCTTTTTTGATTAATTGAGATTTAATTTGGTCAGTTGTTGCTTATTAGAAACATAAAAATGGATTATGTTAAAATTGTCTATTAACCAAGTGTTGTTCGTAACAAAACTAATCACGCCTTTTCATGTAAATGATCCATCAACGGAGTCGAAAATGTAATAATTATAACAAAACCATTAAGGAGTTAAGAAGCCAAAGAAATCTAACATTAAGTCTTTGAAGAACACAATGCATAACAAAGCAGCATAGAGAACAACATGGCAAAATCATCATGATAACAAATCAGAATCACTGATCTCCAGGAAGTGCCTTGATGATGTCGGAATCACCAGGATCAACGATGCTGAGGCAAGAGACTCGGAAGTATTTACCACAAGCAGTACCCAAATCAACATTGTTACCATTGTAGTGATGAACTCCAACTTTAGCAAGCATGGCATAGTATTCAATCTCTGATCTCCTCAATGGTGGGCAATTGCTAGATATCAATATCAGCTTACCTAAACCACAACAATATCCAACAATTATTCTACGGAAATACGAGGAAGACGACCAACACTATAGTGATTCGATGAAGAAAGATTTTAAATTATACCTTTGGAGCTGCGAAGGGATTTGAGAACAGATTTGTATCCGAGAGTGTACTTTCCACTCTTCATCACAAGAGCTAATCTGCTGTTGATTCCCTCATGGGACTTCTTCGTCTTCTTCGCCGCAACCATTTTCGCCGCCGGGAAGATTCAGATCGCCGGATTACAAGCAAGAGTTTTTCGAGCTCAAGCAGAAGCTTTGGGGCGGCGTAAAATGAGAGCTTTAATAGAGAGACTTAAGAAACCTTAGGGTTTTCTCTGCGAGTCAGGATACGAGGCCTAAGGCCCAAATGAAATGTGGCCCAATACTTAGGTTGCTCGACCTAAGGCCCATCTCAACTTGGCCCGAAACTAAGGTTTTAGGGTAACTATACGTGAGATTTCTAATTTGCCCTTGAATTTTGGCGGGACTTTTTGGGATTTCGATGGGTACCAAAATAATTGGCGAAAGTGGGAGAAAATGAGAAAATCAAAATCACAGAGAAAGAAATATCGAGAAATCTGAAATTCGGAAGGGAAGAAACAAACAAAACCCTTGAATTGAAGAACGGAAAAATCATCAGATGGGTCGACTAGATGTAGCTGCGGCGAAGAGAGCTTACCGGAAAGCAGCGGAAGTGGGTGACCGGAGGGAAGAGGCGAGGTGGGCCAACAATGTCGGCGATATCCTTAAGAATCATGGAGAGTACGTTGATGCTCTCAAGTGGTTTAGGATCGATTACGATATCTCCGTCAAGTATTTACCTGGGAAAGATTTGCTACCTACTTGTCAGTCTCTTGGCGAGATCTATCTCCGTCTCGAGGATTTCGAAGAAGCCTTGATTTATCAGGTAAGCCCTCTCATTTGCTTGGGTATTGTTGGCTTCCTGATTTTCCATGATTAATTTTGATGTTTGCGTTTTTCTTTACCTCATCGAATTTCTGAATCCTATTGTTGCAGAAGAAGCATTTACAGCTAGCTGAAGAAGCTAATGACACTGTGGAGAAGCAACGAGCATGTACTCAACTTGGTCGTACCTACCATGAGATATTCTTGAAGTCTGAGGATGATTGTGAAGCCATTCAGAGTGCTAAAAAGTACTTTAAGAAAGCCATGGAACTTGCACAGATTCTCAAGGAGAAACCACCTCCTGGTGAATCTAGAGGATTTCTTGAGGAATATATTAATGCACATAACAACATCGGTATGCTTGACCTTGATCTTGATAATCCCGAAGCAGCCTGCAGTATTCTGAAGAAAGGGCTGCAGATTTGCGATGAAGAGGAGGTGAGAGAATATGATGCTGCGCGGAGTAGGCTTCATCATAACCTTGGAAATGTTTTTATGGCGCTGAGAAGTTGGGATGAAGCAAAGAAACACATCGAGATGGATATTAATATCTGTCATAAGATCAATCATGTCCAAGGAGAAGCCAAGGGGTATATCAATCTAGCTGAATTACACAACAAGACCCAAAAGTACAATGATGCACTTTTATGTTATGGTAAAGCTTCTACGCTAGCGAAATCTATGCAAGACGAGAGTGCATTGGTTGAACAGATAGAGGATAATATCAAGATAGTCAAGAAATCCATTAAAGTTATGGAAGAATTGAGAGAAGAAGAGCTTATGCTTAAGAAGTTGTCTACAGAAATGACTGATGCCAAAGGCACTTCGGAGGAACGAAAGTCTATGCTCCAAGTACATGCTTGTCTTGGACGTCTTATTGATAAATCTAGCATGGTATTCGCATGGCTGAAGGTGAGTTTTATTACTTAAACACTCCTTCCTTTTTAGTCCCAACACTCCACCACATGTTGGCATTTTTTTTGAAAAGTTTCCAGAAGTTAAAGTTGTCCATCGTAGGGGTTTTTAATGATGAATAAGCATTGTAAGATTTCATCATTAAAAATCTTAAGTTTTGCTCTTTTCTAAGACTGATAATCAGTCACTGATTCAAGTTTTGTGAACTTCTGCTATTGACACTGTCTTTTCAGATCAGTCAGGAAGACTATGTTATCCAAGAATTACATGATTCTTGTTCTCTCTAGAAAACATATCTTTTGAATGCTGGGATACTATTTTAGTTCTAAACTTGCAAAGTAAAGTCATTATGTTAGATTAAAGGGGCAAAACTGTTTATTCTGTATCATACGGATATTGAGCAAAATATGATCCAAGTCTCTGCACCACTGTTTCAATGACTTGTGATATAGTTTTGAAAGTTTAAGTAGGCTATTTAAACTTTGCATGCAACTAAAGGGTTGCTATTTCTTCTTTGAATGTCTTAGCATCTTCAATTTTCAAAAAGGAAGAAGAAAATATCAGATGAACTCTGTGACAAGGAAAAGCTTAGTGATGCCTTCTTGATTGTTGGAGAATCTTACCAAAATCTCAGAAATTTCAGAAAATCCCTGAAGTGGTTCAATAGAAGTTATGAGGGATATGAAGCAATCGGTAATCTGGAGGTGAGATTTGTTTGCTTGCACGATTCATTATTAAAACCTATGTTTCACTATTTTCATCAGAATTTGATTCACAACGCCAGACATAATTCATGAGGCCTATACTGAACATTTTCTGCGGAAAACTAATTATACCTTTTCTTGGATTTGTCAGTATTATAGCTATTCTTCTTTCCTGATTCTAATTTTCACTTATGGTGGTCTCTTGTAGGGTCAAGCACTAGCGAAAATTAATATTGGTAATGGTTTGGACTGTATTGGGGAATGGACAGGAGCACTCCAGGCATATGAAGAGGGATACAGGTAGATCCAATTATTTGTAATCTCTATCAAACTGCGCACTTGAGGTGTTAAGTGGTTCTGTTTGTGATTCAGTCCTAGTAAATCTACTTATTAATCTTCCTTGAGAAAATTGACAATTCCATTGAACAATATGACGGAGCTGAAGATCTAATTTACTTTTTAAATTGAAAGAAAACTTGAAACAGAGCAAATGTGAATGTGATATAATTAACTGGTTGTTGGTTTTCCCTTTCGACTTAAGTTCATGAATTACTGCACTATGGCTTATGAATAAATAATACAATGTACTTTGAATCCGTACTTTTCATGATCATTGTGGATAATTGTAGCACATTTTGCCTTTTCAATCACTTGTTATATTTTTCTGTGACTTTCTTCTGCTATATTCAAACACATCGTATATACATGGACGTGAATTTATACACACATACTGCATGCTAATAAATTAACTATTGGTCTTTTTTGGATTTATTTTCATGTGGTCCTGCAGAATTGCTTTAAAAGCTAATCTTCCTTCAATTCAGCTTACTGCACTGGATCATATGCACTATAGCCATATGATGAGATTTGGGAATGCTCAAAAAGCCAGGTAATATTTACTGTGTTGTCACTGGACGGAATATGGATAGAAACCACATCTGGGGTAAGGTTTGCAGTTTCAAATATTTTATTTTTCTCATATATATTATTCTACTGTTTAGGGAATTGAAGGACAAAATACAAAATCTGAAGGAGTCAGAACATACTGAGAAAGCCGAATGTAGTACGCAAGATGAATGCTCTGAAACCGAGTCAGAAGGGCATGGGAATATATCAAATGATAGGCCAAATGCATGTAGCTCACCAGAACCCCAAACACCAAATTCACTTAGATCAGAACGGTTAGCAGATCTGGATGAAGCAAATGATGATGTGCCTCTAATTTCATTTCTCCAGCCTGGAAAACGTCTGTTCAAAAGGAAACAAGTTTCAGGAAAACAAGATGTTGACACTGATCAGACTAAGAAAGATTTCTCTATAGTAGTAGACTCTCAGCAGACAGTTGTTGGTCGCAAGCGTGTTCGTGTAATCCTCTCTGATGATGAAAGTGAAACCGAATATGAGTTGGGATGCCCTAAAGACAGTTCTCACAAAGTTCTAAGGCAGAATGAGGAGGTTTCTGACGAAAGTATGTATTTTGATGGTGCTGTTAATTATACAGATAATCGTGCCATCCAAGATAATGTAGAAGAAGGTTCTTGCTCGTATACGCCTCTCCATCCCGTTAAGGTGGCTCCAAATGTCAGCAATTGTAGATCTTTGAGCAACAATATAGCTGTTGAAACAACTGGTTGTAGTAAAAGAGGATCTCGATGTGATGCTGGCGACTCCAACGGCACGCACTGCAAAACTGGAGCTGCTCTCGTGAACTTCCACGCTTACTCAAAAACTGAGGATGTAAGCAACCGTGATCTGGTTTTTGAGTTATCATTGACTATTCTTGATTGGATTGGATTTCATTTATTTTTCTATTTTGTCCATTCTTCTTCCTGATAACTATATGTTTTACTTGTTGCAGCAAAAAATAAAAATTGAAATTGAAAATGAACACATAGCTTTAAACTCCTGTTCTCACAATGATGAGTCTGTGAAGGTGGAACTTACTTGCCTATACTATTTACAGCTTCCTGTCGATGAGAAAGCTAAAGGTATGTGCAGTTTTTTGTTTTCTCAGAAAAAGTTTAGCTTGAATGCATGATCCCAGTTCGGATCAGGCTCTATAATTCACATCTCATGCTTAACAATTTTTTTTGCTTTTTAATATCATTCCCCTTGTTTCATAGCACATTTTTAAGTAAAGTTTTGGGCTCTAAAATTTTGAATCTTTGAACATACAATTTGCGATTAGGTCTGTTGCCGATCATTCATCATTTGGAATATGGTGGAAGAGTTCTGAAACCATTGGATTTATATGCGACTCTCAGGGGCTCTTCTCAAAATGTTGTTATTGAAGCTTCCATTAATGGTAAGTATTTTCTTGATAGAAATGGGATCTACTCATGATATTCGAATGTATGATTGTCAAGCTGATTTTACTATAATTTTGTTTTCATCACAAATTGTTCTCTCACTTTTTACATGATTGTGGCTGCACCGCTTTATTGGCTTTTAAGATTATGAGCATTGATTCTTCCCTCTTATTTATACAACACGGCTGAATCAGCTATGTAATTAATTTGTTTCAGGCTGGGTTCACAAGCGCCTGATGAAACTATACATGGACTGTTGCCAGTCGTTGTCAGAGAAACCCAGTATGAAATTGCTTAAGAAATTATATATTTCGGAGGTGAGAATATTACCCTAAATTTACTGGTTAATGGATGAAATAGTTTCTTCTCTTTGTTTGCTTTTCAACTTACTTAAAGCAAGCTAGGTACAGATTCTTACTTTATTTGATGTATAAACTGAATGGTTATGTCTTTGTATGTTTATCAGGTAGAGGATGATATCAATGTGTCAGAATGTGAACTGCAAGACATATCAGCTGCTCCATTATTGTGTGCCCTCCATGTCCACAATACAGTTGCTATGTTGGATCTCTCCCACAATATGCTAGGTGATAGTTTGCCTCTGACGTCTTATTTAGTTTAATGAGCTGACTTAAGTTAGTTAGTTGGTTATATCATAGGGAACTACTAGGAAATTCAAAAGGGTTTAATTTCCATCGTCTCATTGTTAGGGAATGGAACAATGGAGAAATTGAAACAACTCTTTGCCTCATCAAGCCAGATGTATGGTGCTTTAACTTTGGATTTGCACTGCAATCGATTTGGTCCAACTGCTTTGTTTCAGGTACACTACTAGGCCCAAAGCTAGAAAATTTCACATATTCATGTTTTCTTTCGTATTATTTAATGTACTCCTCTTTACCAGATCTGTGAATGCCCTGTGTCCAGGAATCGACTTACAGATGCTTGTGGATCATACCTCTCAACTATAGTGAAAAATTGCCGGGGTATAGTTTTTTTTTAAAATTGCCGGGGTATAGTTTTTATTTTTTGTTTTTAATTTGATATTTCATTTACAGTATCTAATTGCTCTGATGGTATGTTTAGTTTCTTGATTTCACTGGTGTCTTGTAAACCCAGTAGATAAATATATGAAATACCTAATATTAGGTTTAATAATCTTAAACTCTTATCTTCCATTCACTGGCTTACATTAATGTGTCCCTTTTGTTTCTTAGCACTTTACAGCTTGAATGTGGAACATTGTTCACTAACATCAAGAACAATCCAAAAAGTTGCTAATGCTTTGGATTCGGAGTCAGGACTTTCACAACTCTGTATAGGTAAACTTTCTAATTTGTTATGTACATTCAATTTTTTTTTTTTAATCTCGTTTCAGTTTGCTGAAGTTGGTGTATCCATATATGGCAGGTTATAATAATCCTGTTTCAGGGAGTAGTATTCAAAATCTCTTGGCTAAATTGGCTACTCTAAGCAGGTTGAAAGAAACACATTTTTAAGCTGTTTTTTTTTTTAACGTTTCCACTGACGTAAATTGATGTAACATGATCATATGTTAAAACACTGCAGCTTTGCAGAACTGAGCATGAATGGCATAAAGCTGAGCAGCCAAGTTGTTGATAGCCTTTCTGCACTTGTTAAGACTCCATCTCTGTCAAAACTATTGGTTGGCAGCAGTGGAATAGGAACGGTGATGATATGCTAAACATTCAAAATTGAATTCTTATATTGTTGTTATAAATGCATCTTTTTTATCTGACGATGCAATGTACAAATTATTCTAGGATGGGGCTATAAAAGTCACTGAATCTCTATGTTATCAGAAGGAAGAAACTGTGAAGCTCGACCTTTCGTGTTGTGGACTAGCGTCCTCTTTCTTTATTAAGCTCAACCAAGATATTACTCTAACTTCTAGCATTCTTGAGCTTAATGTTGGAGGAAATCCAATCACTGAAGAGGTATGTTTCCTACAACCTCAACAGCCTAAAGCTCTTTTCTCTATACTCTGTTGAGGTTGCAATGGAGATAGAATAAGCTTAAGAATTTTGCAAACATTCGAACTCGTGATTCTGAGTTCATGTCTTCTCAAAGCATAACTGGCTCTCTGATACACTAAACAAACAGGGAATCAGTGCACTTGGGGAGCTGCTTAGGAATCCTTGTTCAAACATAAAAGCTCTTATTCTAAACAAGTGTCATTTGAAGCTCGGTGGACTTGTATGCATAATTCAAGCACTTTCAGGTCTGAACTATTTATTTTCCATAAATCTCTTCTTGTAGCTGCTATTAAACCAAATATCTTCTCCTTTTTAAACTATCAACTAAACGCTCTGCAGATAATAAGAATCTTGAAGAGCTTAATCTTTCTGAGAATGCTAAGATAGATGAGACTGTGTTTGGCCAACCTGTGAAGGAACATGGAACATGTGAATCTGTAACCTCAATGGACAAAGAACAAGAGCTATGTGAAACCAATATGGAGTGTGATGATCTTGAAGTTGCAGACAGCGAAGATGAACAAATAGAGGAACGAACTGCAACCTCCAGTAGTCTTAGTTTACCACGCAAGAACCATATCGTGAAAGAGCTTTCTATCGCTCTTGCAGTGGCTAACCAGTTGCAGATTCTGGACCTAAGCAACAATGGGTTCTCAGTTGAAGCCTTGGAAACATTATACATGTCATGGTCATCATCAAGCTCGCGAACTGGCATAGCTCAAAGGCATGTGAAAGATGAGATTGTCCATTTTTATGTCGAAGGAAAGATGTGTTGCGGAGTCAAATCATGCTGCAGAAAGGACTGAAGAAGATCTTCCTTGTCTGACACTGTATTTATTTGCCAATAATAAACCCTTGTTTTTTAATATTGAGTATTTTTATTTAGAGCGTTTCAGAATTTTGTACATATTGATATTATTAACACATTTGGGTTCTTGTGATATGTAAATATGCTTAAGTTTAAGCGTTTATGCTCATTTAAATTTAGTGACGTTAATTTTATTCAATTTAAAAAAATGTAAAAATTGCTTAAAATGTTGAGAGAGACCTAAAAATAAAAACAAAAACAAAACCCATTTCTCATATAGAAGACGAAAACCCTCTGCTCAGTCCAAAATGAGAACGCGCCGGCAAACATATCCGGCGGCAACTCCGCCGATCCCTGAATTCCTCACGGCGAGGCCCATAGTTCAAGCGCTTCCAGCGTCAGCGACAAGATCGTGAGTCTTTTGCTTTTGTTCTGTTTTCAGTTGAAATTCTAGGATTTAGCTGAATTCGGGTTTTGTAAGAGCAGCACGAACGAATGATTTCACGTATTAGAGTTTGTAGATAACTAGATATCACATTCGAACATGAATGAGATGTTTCTTTTTAAATTACCCTGACCTCTTCTTCTTCTAATAATTAGAGGAAATGGTGGATCAGAGAAGAAGAACTGTATCAGAGGATTGTGGGATAAAAAGATTCCGACGGATCTGCTGCAAGAGATACTGTCTCGCCTCCGATTAAAATCCAACATACATGCTTCTCTCGTCTGCAAGACATGGCTTAAAGAAGCTGTTTCTGTCAGGAAGTTTCAGAGTCGTCCTTGGCTTTTTTATCCACAGGGAGGATCGAAAGAGGGAGACTACCTTCTTTTTGACCCATTACACTCTCAAACATATCAACTCAAGTTTCCAGAGTTAAAGGGCGATAAACATAAATTCTCTTGTTCTAGGGATGGTTGGTTGCTTGTGAAGAAAGATAGCCCCTCCGATGTGATCTTCTTTCTTAACCCGTTTACCCGGGAGCGCATCTACTTGCCCGAGTTGCCACGGTATTTCACAGGCCATTGCTTAACTTTCTCAGCCGCTCCCACATCAGCTAGTTGTTGCGTTATCTCCTTCGCCCATCAACAAAATTTGGACGTATTTGTTGTGCTTGATACTTGGCGCCCTGGTGATTCTGTATGGACCACTCGTCGCTTTCCGAATCGGTCTTATGGTTACGGAACAGTAAAATGCCACTTCTCCAATGGTATGTTCTATTGTCTCAGTACCAGCGGCTACATCGGGGTTTTCGAGCCCTCTGGAGCAACCTGGAATATTATTCCAGTCAACCCCTGTCCCGTCTTTAGTCGTCGTCATCACGATAAGCTCGTGAGGCCAGTGTTCATGACAGAGCATGAAGGAGACATTTATGTTATGACTACACGCCGCAAAAACAACAGCAAACAGTTGGTGTTTAAATTAAACCTTGAACGCAATGTATGGGAAGAGATGAGAGTACTTGGTGGATTGACAGTATTTGCATGTAACGCTGCCTCTTTGACAAGAGCTGGTCTCTCAGCGGAGGAGAGGAACAGAATCTATACATTGCATATCGGTGACTATGGGAGACTTGGCATTTACTACCTTGGTTGTGTCAAATGTTCTCTTCCCGCTTACACTACCTATTTGTCTAACCGCAGTGCTTGGCTGCAGCCACCTCACAACAACTTTTTTAGTTTGTGACTTCGTCTTTAAGTGTTTTTGTCTTCCAAAGATTTTTTTATTAAATAAACAGTTGAGGTTTATATGATTGAATTAGTTGCAAGAATCTTTTTATGCATTGTAGCTCGGATACTCTATGAATTAGATCAAGTTTCTTTTAATATATCCAATGTGTTTCAATCTGAGTCTAGTTCTCTTGACGATTTAATTATATGTTTGATAATTGGACTTTACTATCTATGGTTTGTGACTGTTTACCTACATATATCAATTCAATGGTAGCAAATAATTTTCTCTCTTTTGTTGAAAAATGAACAAGCTACTTAGACAAGGAAGAATAAGTAGTTTTCTTGTCCTTCAATGGATTTCATTAGGAAGACTAAGGACATGTACAGAGTTGAAGAAGAACTGGCAAGGAGATCCATGTGTTGCTATAGATTATTCTTGGGGAAGGTCTTATGTGAGAATCCTCCGAAAAATCGTTTACTTGTTAGAATTTTCCTAAACTCATCTCTGTTATGTGCTTTCAGTCTTTATACATGTTTCTAAGACAACATTGGTGAGTTTATTTGTTTAATGCTATGAACATACTGAAGAGGTGTACAGAGTTTGTGAGCTCAAATCTACGTACGCAACCAATCTTTGTTGCAGCGGTTTGTCAAGCAACAGATTAAAAGGAAATGTTCTTGATTGCTTCACCTATTTACCGAGTTTAACTGATTTTTGTAAGTCATGCCATAGCTTGTCCAGACATTTCATTTATACTCATATATATGGTTATAAAGCAAGTGATACTCATATGGCTTATGTGTGTATTTCTGCAAAAACTTGGAAGAAAACCAATTAACGGGTTTGCTTCCACCAAAAAGTACTTGAGAGATTAAGCAACAGATCACTTAAGCTAAGGTTTCCACTAAGATATATAATGCTTTTGGACACATTACAAATTGAACCATCTTGTTCATGTTCTTATAACCAGATTCATCATACGTTTAGTTCTTACCGGATTCTTGCTTTTGCCTAACGTTTCCTAGTGTAATGACAAGCGTGAGCAGAAATCTAGGTCTTTATCTATCTTCTTCATTAAAAAAAAAAATATCTATCTTCATCATGTCAAGAGACCAAGATTATTTAGTTTGATTCATGGAGTGAAGATATTGTTTTGGCCTATATAAAGATAACAGAGATGTTAGGAATGAAACTTTGAAAAGCACATTAAAGAATTATCGATTCTAAATCACTTTTTCACATACTTGATAGTATGTAATAGTGAATACTTTTGTTATCAATTTATGTTAAATATTTGGTGGATACGTGGCACATATAGGAGTGATCACTTTTTTTTTTTTTTTTTTTTTTTTGACGGCAGGAGTGATCACTTTAAATTTAATTTGTGTTATTTGATTAAATAGAGTACAGTTACAAAAAAGTAGTGGTTAATAATTTCTCTTAGTAAAGTGATATAATAATCATAAATAATTGAGAAGGTACATACTTGTATTTGTAATTTTAGAATCGATTGCGGAATTATCGGATAATAATATGATTATTTGTTTAGATTTAACGTGTAATACCATTATATATCCTCATCATATTCTACAAATCATGCGGTGTTGGCCATTTTCTCGTCCAATTAAAAGAGTCATCATTTTTCATAATTGTTCGAGATATAATTAGATAGTGATATATGTTAATGTAATTTGATGAAAGATAGGAAGATACGAAACTAATCAAATGCAAAAAAGAAGAAATCGTAATCTTGGTTAAATTATAGAGTTTTGGTTTACTACTTTTTCCATGGATAAGAACCTTCGGCGAAAAATTAAGCTTAATTTTTTGTTAAAAACGGCACATCTTTCGGCTTCTTGTCTATTGTGAAATGATCTTTTAAAATTCTATGATATATTATAATTAATCTTAATCATGTTCTCCATGAAACCATAAAGAACTTAAAGTGAAAAATGTAATTTATACATAATTGGTTATATATACGTTCATAATCTTTTGTTAGATCTCTGGCTATCTTAAACAAATCTAATTTTTCGTTAAAAAGCCTGTTTGTATTTTAATTTGTCCGGTACAAAATCTGGTTGTGAATTTTGATGTAATTTTAGGTTAACTGAGAAAATAAAAATATCAAAATAAATAAATTTAGATCATCACTATATATACTCAAAATTGTAAACGAGTGTCAAATCAATCCGGGCGTGGCGGGATGGGTTATTGGATACTCTATACATGACGAAGGCTATTATTATTTTTACGATTTTACGTTAATAACTCAACCTTGCGTGGTTTTTTGGCTATCGTATTTCATCACTCTCTCTATCTTTCTTTCACTAGAATATAATAGTAGCTTCGTGCATTGCCAACTGTTGATCTGTTTCACTATTTATTAATGTAGTAGTATACAAATACAGTAGTCTAGCAAAAAAATATTGGAGTAGTGTATAACTCTTTGCAAAAAAAAAAAAAAAAAAAAGTAGTGTAACAATTTTTAAAGACAGAATTTCTTCTTTTCATATCTCATTGGTTGAACGAGTAAAAGATGACCCACGGTGTTCTCTAGACGGTAATGAAGTTGTTGGTCTTTCTTTGTGGACTTTATAAAAGACAATGATTTTCCATTTTTAACCAATTAAACTTTTTATAAATTGAGTATTATCAACAGCTTTGATATTATTAGAAATCAATAAAATGATTAATGAGAATTGCCCTTAAATCTTAATTAATAAGGTGAAAAAACGAGATATGTAAATTTAGGCATTGGAATAACGAGATTGTTGCATCTAATAGCTCATCTCGTAAACTTGATTTACATATAAAAAAAAAAAGAAGAAGAAGAGTGAGAAAATAAGAAAACCCAAACCTAATCACAAGATCTCTCACATCTACTCTAAAATAGGTTACATGCAAACCAAAAATAATCTAAATATCGAGGAACAATTAAAGGGGTCAAACATCTGAAACCCTAATTTCATGTCAAAGCAAACATCGGAGATCGATGAATGGTCTTGTACTCTTTGTGTATGAGTGCATGCATTAATTATAAATATAGTACTATATATCTAGACAGAGAAAGAGAGAGAGAGAGAGAGAGAGAGAGAGAGAGAGAGAGAGAGAGAGAGAGAGAGAGAGTGATCATGGAGACAACAAGGCTTGAATACCAACGTCGTTGTGTTTTCGTGAAGGAGCAGAAGCTGGAACTGGCAAGTGTCTTGGCAAGAATCCTAAGAAATGGCCTCTCCTCATCGAGTTATTGTTGTGATCATAATTAGGGTTTCTGTAGAAAACGCTTGATGACGAGAATCTCGAGGCGTCGCAGTGGTGAATGAAGAAGAGGCAGAGAATCAAAAGAAGAAGAGCGTGTTTGTTTATTGATAATCTTTTTCTCCAATGATGTGGACTTGTAGGATACATTATTTCTGAGTTTCGAATACGACTTCCAGAAAAAGAGATCAATAGAGATTTTTTTGTTTGTTTCAGTTTTGGGGAGGTGGGTTTTTGTTTTTGGAGTGTTGTTGAGGATTTTTTGATGGAGTAAAACATGGTAAGTAGTGATGAGATCAGCAGATTCAGAGAGAGAGAGAGAGAGAGAGAGGGAGAGAGATGAGCTTTTGAAAGCAACCCCTTTTGAATAAGTCTCACTTTGGCTGGAACAATTATAATGGCCAATAAAAAATAAATAAAGTAAAGGTAAGGGAAACTGAACATTCATATGTACTGTATTGTATCTTTATATGATCATCCATAAGAGAGTGTCTGTATCTATCTATCTATATTAATTTTATAACTACAAGTTTCTTCTTTTTGTTAAACTCAAACTAGAAAAAGAACATCTTTTGCGTGGAAAATATCCTTTTTTATTCTAAAACAGATAAAATAATGGATTTGGAATTTATTATTTTTTATACATGTAGTGTCAGGTGGACCGGGGGACATGAGAAGCAGACTATAAGGAAACAAAAAATATTAAAACGAAAAAGCGAGAATAGTATTTTTGAGACATAGTTTTACCTTTTCATTTCCTTAAATTACACTATGATAAAGAAATATACATTATTTAAACTTAGAAGTTTCTAGTCTGAAGCCAATGTTTGATAGTACTCCTAATATCTCCATAAAAACGAAAATCATTTTTCTCCATATAGTAGCACTAATTGAAACAGTAATATCTCTTTAAGTGATTGAAATACCAACACCTTACTCTTTATATATATATATCTTCTAACCAAGTTCAAGCCAACTTTCTTTCTCAGATATAATGTTGTATCTTGTAAATCCAATGTTACAGAAACTGTACAGATACTATTGACCAAAAAAAGAAAATCTTACACAGCGGTTTATAATGTAAAACAAATGTTGATGTAATGCATTGAAGGAGGAAATGGTTGAGAGAAATAATTATTTAGAATAGCAAAAATGGATGGTCAATGAAGAAGGTTTTTGGGTCCCAATTCCCCAAAGTTCAGGTTAAGAAGATGGAAAGTGGGAACAACTTCCTTTGTCCTTTGATATTATATTCTCAGTATTGGTTTCTTGTCTTTCGATTTTGTTACATTAATTAATGTTTTCTCGGATGGTTAGTGTCACTTGTAGAGACTGATGAGCCGAACCATTTGTCCAAGTACGCAGTATCTCTCTTTTTGTTATAGACTTTGATTAATAAAGTTTTGCGGTTTGAATGTGACTTTTCAAAATTGCTGCGTTTTATATGCCCTTCTATAGATAAAGCTGGCATATGTTATATACAAATACGACATCCATGTCACCATGTGCATGTGCTGATGTGCATAATAAATGTTCATCATTCAAAACATGAACACTTAGTTTTTATTTTTATTTTTCATTAGTATATAAAAATGCTTATTAGCCTCAACACATGAGTTTCACCAATCATGCACTATCGAATATAAGCTTAGATACATGATTCTAAAAAGGTGGAGACTGATAATCCGATTTCAAATTCACCGTACTTAAAAACTTTCTAGAAATTTGCAAATTCCGGCCACTAACAGTTAAACTATCATGTTTACGGAAAAGAAGGAAATTAAAAACATAATTGCACTGCTTTGACAACAAAAACATAATTGCCGTTGCTTTTTCAATCATCAAATTCAAGCCCATTCAAATGGGCTTCTGAGTCCCCATTATGGTTTCTATGACTTTTCTAAAAGTTTTTCCATTTTTTTTACAGCACTTTACTAAAAAATAAGTTTTTTCCCCGGAAAATATCACGAATTGTTAGTAGTCGTTGATGTCTTGTAATTTTTTTGTGTATTCAAGCAAGTAACACGAAATTCCGCATGTCTCTATATAACCATATAACAGCATTTAAGACACCGGTCGATTGAGATGTGTTCTTTCGACAAGCACAATTTAATTATATATGTGGGATTGTGGGTTGAACTTAAATGCATATTGATACCTTAAGCTGTGTAGTTCTCAATAATTAATCTAATAATTTGATTTTTAATCACACCACAAATAAAATAGAGTAAATACTGTTCTTTCGATTAAAAAGTGTAATAATATAGTGACATTATTCTAGTTTTGTAGCTCAACCGATATACTAAGTAGCCCACTATATATAAAACAATAAAAGCCGGAAAAGATATCAGATTAGAGCAACAACTACGAGTCATAGACAAGAGATAACTTTTTTGGTCATTAACCTGAAAATCTTATGAATGAATCTAGGTCAGAAATTTTCTTAACCAAAAACTCCAACTTAGATAGACACACAAAGTATAAGATAATAAATTTGGCCACGTAAATTATCAACCAAAAATGTTCCAAACTTTTTAAAACTATATATATCCAGTACGTTACATGTATATAGCGACACGTTTACTCAAAAACATGTATAGCCCACACGAGCAGATATACATATACCCCCTTGTTTTCTTTCTTGTCAAGAATCCTTTAATTTCAGTATAATAAATAAATCTTCATAGAAAAAAAAAGTTTAATAAATAAATTGAGCTGATCACCTTGGATTCTTGGTCATGTATTTGTGTGCTCAAAATCTTCCCGTATATTAAGGAACAAAAGGATGAATTACATGATACAAACAAAAGTAGATTGTTACAAAATTATATGTATATCGCACGCGAATGAATTATCATTATTCCTATGTTACTTTGCGGTTCCTCATTTTACTCTCATCATCTTCCTTAATTACCCGTAGCGTGTGAAAATCTTCATCATTAGCATATTATTATCATTAGGATTTTAAATTTTATGAGTATACCGTTTATTTTGATGTAAGAAAAACAATAGATAAATTCGATCACTTACCTGTGGAAATTTTTTGTTCGCTTTGTAGATTAGGTTTTAATCAATATTAAAGAAAAACATTAATGTTCTATCGATGTTCGGAGGCCGTCTAACCACTAAACTAATACTTTTATAGGTTTGTTTTTCGTTCATTTGAATTTTTTTTCTTTTCTGTCGAGCTAGAAATTCTTTGACAAAAAAAGCTTATTGTAATTGTTATTTTCTAATAAAATAGTACAGTATATACTAATGTATTGAACATGTATAGCTAGATCAGCCTGTTTTATATTACTGAATTTAATTTTAGTGTTGAAGTTAACATATACATATTCAACATTATCAACTGTGTCAAATCTGAGTTGAAGAAGAAAAGCTAGTCAAATCTGATAAATTCCTCACAAATATTCTAGAAAATTCCTCATAAATAACTCACTAAGAATTGAATGATGTCGACTTCGAATGGGAACATGACATTGGATATGTTTTTTTTCATGTGATGCAAACGAGTTGCCTCTGCCAATGGAAACCTCTGAATAATAATACAAACCCCACACTTTTGGAACTCGATTCTTCTTCATATCTCTATCTTCACTTCACCCAATATTTATTTTAAATTATTTAGGCCACAGATTTATGAAGAACTAGGAAAAACGGTCTATTTCTCCACGAGAACTATGACATCATAACAGATAGAGCCTAATCTATGACCACGATCTAAATATCCCCGAAAAAATATTTCTCAACCTATATCTCCTCGAATCGATAGTTTTCATCTATTTCTCCATAAAATAATAGTTTTCACCTAATTTACCCACAGATTTTGGTTTACAATTTACCAAACAATTTTTAACCACCTAAATACAATACTGAACCAAACTTAAACCAATTACAACAATATAACCGGATTTAAACCCAAACCGAACCAATTTCTTAAAGTTCACAAACCAAACAATTACTCACGCATCACCACCACTTACGTCAATGGCGGATCTGCCTTTCATCTCCTCCTCTTCCTCCACCTCCTCACCACCACCATGTGACCTCTCCATCTCCAGGTTCATCAACCAATCACAAACTCGATGTATCTCACTCATTCACTCCATCTCAACGCTCTATTCTCTTCCCAATCTCTTTCCACATGCCTCGATACAACCTTAAAATCCCTAATTTCAAACACAACTTTATCTCTCCAATGGAGACAGAGTCAAATTCCGGCGACCCCTCTGCAACTCCGGTGAAACCGAGCCGCAACCTCCACTGGCAAACCGAAAGCTATCGAACCTTGTAATCCTCTGTGCCTCT